GCCCAGCCCAGCTTGGCACAATTTTTTTTTTTTTTTTTTAGTGTATTTTCAATATTTAATGCCCTTAAACCCCTTCCGTCCTTCTTACCCCTTCCCTCAGCAGAAGCTCTTTTCCTGCCTCGGAAATCATATGTTTAACAAAAAGAGAGATGAAAGCACTCCTGCCTTTCTCCAGCTCTGGCCGGCATATTAACCCCGAGCAAGCACTAAATGTTTGGAAGAGGCAGGGGGCCCTGCGCGGCGTGGGGAGGGGGCTGTGCCCTGGGACGAGGCCGGCTCTTCCCACAGCCCCAGCGAGTGGCTTCGTTTTACTGCTTCCGGCCGCACACTTTTTTTTTTTTTTTTTTTTTTTTCCCCCGGTTTAAACCCATGCTGTCCCGAGTGCTTAGCGGTACCTGTCCGGGCTGTGTATGCTCCGGAGGTACCGCCTGGGTCCAGCTCCCGGTGTTCTGATGTTACCATCACATCGGATTTTCCTGGCACACCAGACCGAGCCCACTCTCTCTCTCTCTCTCTCTCACTTGTTGCTGCGGCGAGTCTCTAGAGAATAATATGTGCTGCAACAATTTCTCTATTGTTTCCTTGCCTTCAACTATTGTGCCCCTTAATTAGAGTTACTTGTGGAGTAGATCAGAGGGTTGTTCTTGCTACCAAAAAAAAAAAAAAAAGCAAAAGTTGCAATCTGATATTTTGCCATTATTGATGCTATTATTCTTGTTACTGTTCCCAGGTTCATGAATTGTGCGATAACTTCTGCCATCGGTACATTAGTTGTTTGAAAGGAAAAATGCCAATAGACCTCGTTATTGATGAAAGGGATGGCAGCTCCAAATCAGACCACGAAGAACTCTCAGGATCTTCCACAAATTTAGCCGATCATGTAAGTCCTTCTGATTTCTTTATGGCACTTTTAAAGACTTTAACCTGCTTGGAGGACCTGCCCCCGATTTCATTGTTTTGCTGCTGTTGTCTGTTACCACTAGTATTAGTACTGTTATTACTACTTTAACCTCTCGAAAGCTCGGATCCCATCTTTACACTTTCTTCCCTCTGGCTTTGTAAAGTTGTGGAACTGCAAAAGGTTCCTTCTGTTTCCCTCTGTAAAGCAGCGAGTTTGCAATGGTTTGTAAAGTTTCCTGGTCTGGGCGGCTCTGGAGAGCTTGCAAACTCTCGGTTTGGTGTGGGGATCGGTGCTTTCTCCTCCGCTTTGCCAACTCTGTAAGCAAGGCAGGAAAGTAAGGAAACAGAGACAAGAAAGTTAGGGAGAAAGTTTGCTGATTTGCTCCCCCCCTCCCCTCTCGTGGGGATGACAAGTGATGAGAATTATTGGCAATACTACATTGCATTAAAAAAAAAAAAAAAAGGGTTAGCACATTAGAGTTTCCAATGCTTGTGCTTTATAGCAACTTATTGTCAGAATATGGACTTATTGCCAAACGCCTGAAGCATCTTCATAATAAAAGACAGTAACCTTGATGAAGCAATTATTAACAATGTATTACAGAAAGCTGGAGAGAATGATGATTGAGTAACCATAGGTTAGCGGTTGATTTTAACACTTTAGGAGTTGGTGAGTTGGTGTTATGTGTGTAGGACTGAACGTTGGTGTGTGTGGTAAGGAGAGTTGCCTTTGTTTTTCCGGGTTTTGGAGCGGCTCTTGTGATCCTTCAAAAGATGGAGACGCGGAGAGACTTCGGGATGTAAAGGGAAAAGATTGCAGCTGGTACTGCAGAAAGGGGAAGGAACAGCTCTGGTTAAAAAGAGTGGGTGTGAACTCTAGTTTATTTATAGGAACGCATCCCTTGGGGGGGAAAGGGGGTTTACACAGTTTTAGATTCAATTGAACTCATAATCTAAATGATACAGTCTAATATTTTAGCGGTTGAAATATTAAATTAACACCCGGTGTGAAGTTAACCGGGCTTTCTGCACAGGCGCCTGCCTTTATTTCCCAGTGTGTTAAGAAGAGTAGCTGTAAGCCCAGGGAGAACGAGCTTTCTAGGAGCTTTTGTTTCCTTTGAAAACATGTTGTTTGTGTGCGTATTTGATAATTACATTAGACTTGGACTGAAGCTGAATTGGGAGATAAAATAATAATAAATTCTTCTAAATGCCCCCTTTCTGGCACGACTTAGTTCCAGAGCCCGGGAAATATTTTTGGACCCAAGCCTTAGCTTTCATTTTCTCATTTGTATTCGGTAAACATTGCAGGACAAGGGGTTTTTTGCGATGTTTTCCATTTAAAATCTATTCTTTTGAGAGAAACAAAATGTATGCAGAGGTTCCTGAAAGTTTCTCTGCTTATCAGCTATCTCACACGTAGCTAATAAACTCTATGAGGCATGACACTATTTAAAAAATATTTCTTTTATGACATTTTACAACCCTAAATTCGTGTGCATAAGTATTCTGGGAGAGTACTAGCAAAGAAATTGAAATGACTGGCAACCTGAAAGATATGGGGTCATTGTGTATGATTCAGAGCAACAGAAAAAAACCCCCAACAAACCAGTACATGTTTCTCCAGTACAGTTTCTTTACAAGAGTGTGTTTCAAGTGGAAGTGTAGAAATGGAGCATGCTTATGTTTATATTGAAGAGATTAGATAAACTAGCCTGTTTAGGGTTCTGGCAGATGGCGAATGCTCAAGCCAATTTGCAGTGCTCCATTATAATATTTAAATTCACACACAATGATAGGACAGAGGTGGAGGGGGTTAGCATTTTGATAATTTGATAACTATTATCTTCCCTAAGAAGAGTCTCCTCTTGCTTTTGTGGCCCAAAAAACAAACTCAAACAAATATGACAACCCATTTATCTTGCACCCGTTAGGGTTTACCACTTCATTGGGTATTATAATTTAAAGCCTTTTATTTCCTGGAGATTTGAGCTATAACATTTTTACTTTAGCCCCCTGCTATTTGTTTTGAAAGGAAGCAATAATTTGTGCAACCAGAACACCAACTGGGAAATGAAGAGTTGTATCACATAGTTACATTTTATTCATGCGTTTTGGGAAATGTGTCTCCTTATTGGATTTTTTTTTTTTTGTGTGTGTGTGTGTGTGTATATTAGCTTGTTTTCCCAACAAAACTTTAACACTCTTTTATAGCTTAGTCAAACTACCGTGTGTGTACACATTTATATTTGCACTGTACAAGGTTCCAGCAGGAGGAAATCCACTTTTATTCATAGAGAAGGAAAAGCTTTAAAAAAATGGCTAATATAAACACGCAAGACTATCAAAAAACGAGCTATCATTTGTGAGCATCTACCTGAAAATGTAGTAGTTCAAGCATGCAAATTCATCCAATTTGACTCTCCAGGTTTATTTTTTCATTTGCTTTGATATGCATATTTAATACATAGCCTCAGGCTAGATCTCATTTGGTGAAAGTTGGTGCAGGGGTGATGATGAGCCACTTCAGAAGGACAGAGACAGCATGTTGTTTCCTCTGTTTTATGTATTGGCCCACTATTCTGATCCATGGGTCTTCCCCTCATGATTTTATTTGCACATGAAATGCTAGGAGCATTTCAACCGATTGGCTATGAATAATGATAGCCAAAAAGAAGTGTAGTTTAATTTGTTGCAGTGCCGAGGTTTCTCTTGTGGAGGTGACAGTTCATGACAGCTGTTTGACACCCCAAAAATCCATACACCTCCATTCTTATTAAGTCGTATAAAGCTACACTGTGTGTGTTTAATGTGAATGCGAGGGGTGGTAGTGGTGACAGTGGCAGTGCCGAACTAGGAACTAAGGCAGCTCTCAGTTTTATTCCTTTGCTAGACCTGGAAACGTAGCATAAGGGAAAGTAACAGAAAGAATTGTAGGATTAGCCAATGTTTACCGTAAGACTTTAAATGGGGTACTCAAATAGTGCATGCTTCCCTTTTCAAAACCTACTGCTCTACTATTTATATAACTTAATTGGAAACCAAAAACAAAATCAACAAAGGAATGAACCCTTCAGAGATATACCTGTGCTGGAAAAAGGAGACAGCTGTAAGCGGTTGTGCTATACGTGTTTGGTAATAAACGTGTTTATCGAATTTTATTTTAGTGCGCTATTAACTGTTATGTAATACAGTAAGCGTAAAGGGTCCAGGGACTAGGTAGATCAAATAGTGCAGCGCTGGCCACAAGAAGCTGAAACTTTTGTTATTACTCTGCTGTGTTTAGTAAATATAACAGCCCATAATTAGTGTTTGAATTTTTAACACCCTCATATTTTTTTATTGCTCTGAGGTATTAGCTGTAGATGGGAAGAAGGTAATTACAGCTATGCCCTGGCTGAACCAGATCAGTTAGGGGGAAAAAAAAAAAAATAAAAAGAAGAGAGGAAAGAAACCTTTCCAGCTGCAGTTCAAGTTGAGTTTCCCAGCACAGACAATTTATTATTGTTCAATATAAACATTCTGGGCCCTATCCTGCATTCTGCGTTCAGCCTAAAATATCTGTTGAGATTGCCAACAGATCTTTTTCTTTTTTTTTTTTCCTTCCAAGCTATTCAAATATGAAAAACATAGTGCTTGCAAAATTTGGAAATTTTTAACCTTTTTTGAGCATATGATAATGTTTTGTACTTTAATTACATTTCTTTTCTACCTGGCTTTAGCTGGTGCTGTACAATTCTTCCTTCAGCACAAACTTACTTTGAAGCCTAGTAATGCTCCTGTAGAAATTTATGGCTCTCCTTCCACTGGTTTTCATGAGAGCAGGATCAGGGCCTCAGCCTTTCTGATATTTGTTTGTATGTTCTAGTCAATTTGCAGCTGAGAGGTAATAATGTACAGATCATCATTCATAAAATATAATTAAAAATGGATAGAAATATACATACATCTCTTTTTTATAAAAGGACTGTTGACAGATTAGAAATCCGATGCCTTAGCTGTAGAAGAGAAATATTAGTCCGCATATTAAACCTTTCAGCTCTCAAATGAGGAGATACTTTTATTTTGTACTTTTGGACACCCAGACTTTTTGCATTTCTTTAACATTTCTTCTCAAAGAATGGTCTGTGCAAATTCCTGACATCTTGCAGGCGAGAACAAATAAAAATAGGGTGATACAGATGTGTTCCAGCTATATAATTAAACCTTTAGGTAAGATTCCACTGAGTAATGAGGAAGTAACAGGGGGCCTGATGCTGCCGTCTCCAGGTAGGCCATGCTCTGGTGAACTTCAGTGGGAGTTTTGAGTGTGCCAGAAACACAGGATCAGACCCCAAAGTTGGCCTTTCTGTTTGCAGTGTGTCAGAAGGGTAACTAAGAGGCTAACTGCAACAATAATAAGGCAAACTTTTTTCTTTAACAACCGCATTTCTTAGTATGTGGCTTAAGACTTAGGACATCACGGTAGGCCCTGTGCTTTCTGAGAGGGCGAGGAGCATCAGGAACTTTCCGAGCCTGTAGAGAATGTTGTGTGTATTTCCTCTTTTTGATGGGCCAAAGTACTCTGAAAAGGTACTGTACAGCTCAAATTTCAGCTTTTTAATTTTAGACTGGGTTCTCTCAAACTGAACCCATAACGTATTTCACTATCTGTTTCATGCCGGTGTTCCCTCTTTGGTTTGAGTTGTCTATCAGTCTAGATGAAGTGTAGCCACACAGAGTGGCGTAGAAGGACAATTAAAAAACCAACAAAACCCTGATTTTTCAAGTCTGAGTTCCTTGCTGACAGGTGGATTACATATCTGATTTCAGTCTTAATTGGAAAATACAAAGCGCAGAGCTTTTCAGAACATTGCCACCTTCTAGGAGCGTCAAAAATTCCTCCTGACACTTTCCTCAAATGCAAAATCAAGGGACAAGAATTAAAACTTGTACATATATATGCATACATACACAAATATCTGACAGACCACAAAGCCT